AGCAGGCGGTGCACGCGGCCCACGGGGAACTGCAGCCCGGCTCGGGAGGAGCGAGTCTTGGCCTTGGCGCGAGCCTTGCCACCCTGCTTGCCGCGTCCAGACATCTTCGCAAAAGAGTGTATGGCTCAGCAGAAAAGTGCAAGACAATTGCCATTAGAAACTGTGGTATGAGAAGTATTTATAGGGACTGGAGGTAGGCTGTATGCTTTCCTCCCATTGGCTAACACAAGGTAACCAATAGAAAATCGAAATTTGCATATTTCATTTGCATACATTTCTTCCCTCTGATGTCAGGTTTGTGTTTTATCCAATTACCAATGTCTGCCTTGAGACTTTCCTTGAATTCCAGTAATATCTAGATCACTTTGATATTCTCAACTGCAACTTGAGAATACCCAGAAATTAGCACCACCAGGTCCAGTGGTCCCAGATAGGCATCAATCGCCAAGGTGAGTGACCAGAACATCCAGACCCATACTCTCCTTCCCCAAAATGTCTTTGTTCCTTCCATGTACCTTTGCTATGTGACTTGTTTCCCATTAGATCAAATTAGTTAAGCTATACTTATAATTTTATAGGTTGATTGTAATGAGACCCGCATTATACCCATGTTGTCATTTTGCTGTATAAATTACCCTTGATAAAAGGCCTTGGTGCCCACCCACTCAGGACCACTCCTGGAATTCCAGGAGCTATTCTTTTCCTTATTTCCAGTAAAACTCTCCTAACTTCTTCCTTTGGTTAGGAATTTCATTCTTTGATGTTGTGAGACCACAAAACTGAGCACATTTGACCTCTAATGGATTGGGAGTTCTATTTCTCCTGTATCCATAACATAAACTAATACCACATGGAAACCATCTCTGTAAAAGACCATAGATACAACACCATCCCAACAGGGAAACAAAGAGGAATGAGCAAGAAAAATAATAGAAGGCCCACTACCTAAATGCAAATAATTGTTTTCAAAGTGAAAATAACAATAAGATTTCATTATCATGTCTTCCATTTGGAAAGGTTTAAAAGACTAATAATATTCACTGTTTAAGAATATATATGGCACCTGTAATCCTAGCACTTGGGAGGCTGAGGCAGGAGGATCACTGTGAATTTGAGACTAGCCTGGGCTACATAGTGAGTTCCAGGTCAATCTCAACTACATAATGAGACCCTGTCTCAAAAAAACCAAAAAAAAAAAAAAAAAAAAAAAAAAAAAAAAAGAATATATATGGAAGTCAGCATTCTCTGATAACATTACACAAGTTTTCAGGATAGCAACATGGAGGTATGTTTTAAAATATTGTACAGATTTTGCTTGATCTATACAAACCACCTCTATTATTTCCCCTAAAGCAATCTCCTAAGCATGTCCAGAAGCATCAAAAAGTATTGTCATGGTAGTGTGATTTATAACTCTTAAAAAATGGAAAGTCAATAAAAGGCAATTATGTACCTACAATGAAGTACTATTATGAAAATGAAACATTTTACCTAAATTTTAAAGATAATAGGAAAGCAAAACTTTTCTCTCACCTCCATAATTTTTATATATCTTCATTTATAATATATTTATATCTTCATTTATAGTTTTATGCAGGTAACATTTTTGAAAGATTGCTTACCAAAGTGTCCTGGATGGTGGAATTACAATTGATTTTATTTTTATTTTTATTTTATTTATTTATTTTTTGGTACTGGAGTTCGAACTCCAGCCCTAGCGTTTGCAAGGCAGAGAGTAGAACCACTAAGCCAAATCCATGGCCACGATTTTTAATTTGTAGGGGAGAAAAGATGTATTTTTTCATCACTAGTTTTATTACTAAAGTTCCTACCAGACAAATCAAAGCACACAAATTTATTTAATATAACATTTATATAACAATGTAGACTTCAGAGACAAAGGTCTAAAGAAATAAGGAAAATCCATGTATGCTTAAATTCTTTGGTGAATTGAATAGCTATGAAGTTTGATTGACAAAGGATTATGATCCAGGGGTTACACACCATGGGACGTAGAAAGGCCTGTTTATTCATTCTTTTTTAGGGCCCTGTCTTCAAGATCCTTACTCCAGTTATTAGGAGGGCACCTACTTCAAGAGAAGATTAGAGAATTTCTTTATGCCCCCTGTCAGAGGAAAAGAACTGCTTCTACTGTCCCCTCAAATATCATGGTGTCTTATTTGGGGTATTTGTCCTGAAACCCATCAGTATATATTTGAAATTACTACTTGTAGTGCTTATTGTTAAGTAATAAGGAGGTCATTATTTTTCCAGAAAATTTTCATGAAACAACTTTATTTAAACATATATATTACATAATGGAAATGAAAAGACAGGCAAAACACATGAACATTGTTGAGAGATGCTGAAGACAGAACTGAGAAGTCTGTGCCTTCTTCCCATGTTCCATGAAGCAGGTCCAGGATGGTTCTCATCTGACTGTGTTCTTTCCGAAATCATAAGCAGTTCCTGGACCTTCTGTCATCTATATCTTTGTATGCCTCTCTTTTCCAAATCCTTCAAAATCTCTAAAAATCTTTTAGTTTGTCATTCGGAGCTCAGCCAAGCCCAGGTCCTTTACAAATTCGGCACTTCCTGTGTTTTCCCATGTTCTTTGCTGGGTAGAAGGAAGTGTTTCCCTCACTAAAAGGAGAACTGACAACATTATAGTTGGGTTTTCTGTCTTTTATAGTAACAGAGACAGCAGCTCTGGAGAAAATGGGAGAGTTTATTATGGAAGTGGGTGTATAAAACATTTTAGTATCACTCAGGTTCCTGGGATTGCTCTCGAAGTCTGTGTCCAAAGGTGGTCCCTCATGAGGATGGACTGGAAGATTTATGAACATTTCTGACTTCTCTCTACTCCCCAGAGTCCAAACATATTATTTGAGAGAAAAAAGAAAAAAATAAACGAACAAACAAAACATTGCATGCACTTATTGAATGTCACTATAGATGGCAAAAAGCCAAGCTTTGATCTTAGGAGCCCTGAGTCTTGGTGTCAATGATACAATTTTAGTATACATTAAATATTTTTGTTACTTTATTACAAAAAAAGAAAGGAACAGGCAAGCAAAAACAGCCATGAAAGGCAACTTGGAGAGAAAATAATCCGTACTTCAAAGGATCACATCAAAAATGTTAAGAAATAATACTGCTACCAAGATTTTCACCCAGAGAAAGACGGACAGTGTGTCAAATTGCAGCCTGGGCTCTTTATCCTGGAGGAGGGGCGTTTCACAAATTAAGACATTGATTTTTAAATCCAGCCTTTCACAGCAGCACTATGTATACTGAAACTACTTTTCACATACTGTTTTACTAGCATTTTGTGTGCTATACAATTTTTAATCTACTTTTTTAAAAGTTTACTTTTGAGTTTTCTTTACCTAACCACGTTTCTGAATGTCACTGCATAAGGTGCTCACAGCCTTCCTGGAAATATTTCTTTTCCATAGAAAGCCTTTGCCATCACCACCTCATTCACACAGTGTGCATTTTTCTCTTCCCTCTGCACTAGGTCCAGACAAGCCAGCCCCTACTGACTCACCCAATACTCCCCCTGATTTTCTAGCAATTATTTTTGGAATCTCTGAATCTTGGGAAAAAGGCTTGTAGAAGAAACCCACTATGTCTCCCTCCGCATTAAGGGTCCTCCCTATGGGCTCTAAGTGGCAAGACAAAGAAAGGCGCGAAATTCAAACCCTATGTCCCCCTCTGAGGTCTAGCCCAACGCTCTTGCTCCATTCTAACCTTCAGTACCAAGCGGAAAGTGGCCCATGATTTCTCAGATTAGAGAAAAATTTGAATGGTTCGGGAGTAATCCTTCGCAGCAGTAAACAATTATAACTCGAAATCAGTAACTTCCATTGTTCAAAGAATTGCAGGAGTACTCCACTGAGGTGCCCAGGAAAAATAGTTTCACTTACTGATGTCCTTATGGTCCGGTACAAAATGTATAGTGAGCCAAAGCTCTTAGCACTAAAACATCCCCATTTTCCCTTTCTCACTCCTAAACTCCCTTCCCAAACCAGGGAAGCTGCACCTCTGAAATTGATTTCTGGCCCAGTAGGGTACTCCGAAGTGCTATCAGCAGCATTCTGCAGTAGGAAGGGGAGTCATGGAGGTGTCCGAGTAATTGAAAAAGAAACTAACATTAAAGACAAATGGACCTAAGGAGGAAAAGCGGCGATTGGCGTTTTGGGCATCAGTAGATTTAAGTGACAACTTACAGCTCTTTTTAGACAAAGTGGGTGGCTCTGAAAAGAGCCGTTGGTTTGAGAAGTGCCTACATAGGCACTTACTTGGAGCTGGTGTACTTGGTGACGGCCTTGGTGCCCTCAGACACGGCGTGCTTGGCCAGCTCCCCGGGCAGCAGCAGGCGCACGGCCGTCTGGATCTCCCGCGACGTGATGGTCGAGCGCTTGTTGTAATGCGCCAGGCGAGACGCCTCGCCGGCGATGCGCTCGAAGATGTCGTTGACGAAGGAGTTCATGATGCCCATGGCCTTGGACGAGATCCCCGTGTCCGGGTGGACCTGCTTAAGCACCTTGTACACATAAATGGAATAGCTCTCTTTGCGGCTGCGCTTACGTTTCTTGCCATCCTTTTTCTGCGCTTTAGTGATGGCCTTCTTAGAGCCCTTCTTTGGGGCCGGAGCAGACTTTGAAGGCTCTGGCATTGGAACTAAAAAAAAGGAGAGAGACCCTGCACCAAAAGCTCACAACACAAATTACAGGAAGAGAGAGTTGAGGCCTTTTATTTATAGCCCCCTCATGCAAATAAGGCTTTGAGATTCGTCACTACCGATTGGATAAAAAGACTTTTTTTTCCAAAGGGGAGGGCTTAATGCAAATAAGGACTTACATTTGCTTTTGCTATTGGACATAAAAACAGCCTTTTTCACCAATGAAGTGGTTTACCAGCGCAGCCCTGCACCACCTATAAAAGTCTTCAGGCGCTCTTGTATTTTCTTTTGTTCTTGTAGCAGCTAGAGATGTCTGGACGTGGCAAACAGGGCGGCAAGGCTCGCGCCAAGGTCAAGACTCGCTCCTCCCGCGCCGGGCTGCAGTTCCCTGTGGGCCGCGTGCACCGCCTGCTCCGCAAGGGCAACTACGCCGAGCGCGCGGGCGCCGAAGGAGCTCAACAAGCTGCTGGGCAAGGTGACGATCGCGCAGGGCGGCGTGCTGCCCAACATCCAGGCTGTGCTGCTGCCCAAGAAGACCGAGAGCCACCACAAGGCCAAGGGCAAATGAAGACCACACGACTCAGCAAAAGAATAAAGTCCCATTTGCATGTAAAGGCTCTTTTCAGAGTCACTACACCTTCACAAAAAAAGCTGATTGCTTTTATTCTGCAAGCATTGGTAAAACCTCCCTTTGAAACATCTTAAGGGCTCAGGATTTTTTTTTTTTTTAATAAACTAGAGATCGAACTTAGGACCTTGTTCTTGCAAGCTAGTCATGATGCATTCACCTAAATCCCCGCCCCCAAATTTGGATTATTTTAAATTTCACTAATCACTTTAAGGATTACTAGGTCATTCCAAACTAAAAAGGATAATTGGGAAAAATGAGCCGGAATAGCAGTTGGAATGGGGAAATTAATTTTTGAGAAAGAAGCACAAATCTCCCAAAGTAAATTTAGAAAAGCCTTTAGCCAAAATAATTTAGGGTTGGTTAGCAATACTGGTAACTGCTGGAATTTACAGCCTCAAGTCTCATTCAGACTTACTCAGCAATCACATACTAATAGGATCCTAAAATGGTCCCTAGTGCACATTGCATTTGGTGGCAGAATACACTATATGGTTAGAGAATTTGTTTTTCAAACGATTAGGATGGCGTTGGGGCCATTTGGCCAATCACATTCTCTTCCAATAAGCCAATCCTACAGGTTACCTTTCAGCCAATGATTTTTTCGCGCGGGACTTTTTGAAAAATTTTAAAGCCAATCACAGTGTTCCTAAGTATATTTAAGGAAAACCTTCACAGACCTTATTACTATTTGATTGTGTCTTCTCCTATTCCTAATGGCTCGTACTAAGCAAACCGCTCGCAAGTCTACCGGCGGCAAGGCCCCGCGCAAGCAGCTGGCTACCAAGGCTGCCCGCAAGAGCGCGCCGGCTACCGGCGGCGTGAAGAAGCCTCATCGTTACAGACCCGGTACTGTGGCGCTGCGCGAGATCCGCCGTTACCAGAAGTCCACCGAGTTGCTGATCCGCAAGCTGCCGTTCCAGCGCCTGGTGCGCGAGATCGCGCAGGACTTCAAGACCGACCTGCGCTTCCAGAGTTCGGCCGTCATGGCACTGCAGGAGGCGTCCGAGGCCTACCTAGTGGGGCTGTTTGAGGACACAAACCTGTGCGCCATCCACGCCAAGCGGGTCACCATCATGCCGAAGGACATCCAGCTGGCGCGCCGCATCCGTGGTGAGAGAGCATAAATTCTTAGGCTAAAACCCAAAGGCTCTTTTAAGAGCCACTCAATTATTTCCAAGAAAGTAGCTGTAACCATTTAAAATGAATCTGGGATGAGTGAAATTCTAGAATCAATCTGCAACTGAAAAGGCTCTTTTAAGAGCCACCCACAATATCATTTTGAAAGCAGCTGTAAGGCGTCGCACTAGTTGCTAGCCTGTGAAATTACGTATTTTTAAATTTTTCCTTCAAGGTGGAATTAACATGCTCATTTAAGCATCTACTGAATGATAGAATTTCTGGACTTGTAAGAGATACATGTACGTGCAAGAATACAGATGCCTGTCAGTCACTTTCCCAAGCTTATTAAAACACCTACAGTTTTGTTTTTAACTTCGTTTCCTTTTTAAATCAAACTTTACTTGGGCCTAAGTCCCTTTGAATGTGGTAATTTAAAAACAATACTAAATTGGGTGTTTGGATTGGTTTAATTGGAGGGTGGGGGCAAGTGACCTCTATGTAGTGCAGGATAATTTTGAATTAGTCCAGGCTGGCCTGCAAGTCTTAGTGATCGTTCGTTCTTCAGCGTCCCCATTTCTGGGATTACAGGTTTGCAACATGATGCTCAACTAAAGTATAAAATTATAAATACACTGAATATAAGAAGATGTTGCAAAAAATTAATTTTTTTAAAAGTCATCACTAAATTTAGAAAGAATTTTTATTGACTCCACTATAGCACATTATAATGATGTTTCTATACTTTTGATTGACTACTCTGTGTTCAGAAAAGAAAAATATGTTTTAATGTCTATAAATTGGGAAGAGAATTAGTCTTTAGGTGGTTGGTTATTTTTTCATAACTAACTGAAGAGTTTCTGCTCAAAAACAAATTGGTAATGTCAAGTTTTATGTTTTTAATTTAGTTGTTTTTAAATTAGGGAAATCCTAAAACATCCCCTATTTAAACTAAAAACACCAAAAATCTGAGACAGTTAAGTACATGCCTAGGGCCCACCCAAGGCCTTGCCATTTTATTTTGTTTTAGCCTCTTTGTAAATCTGCCTCTGAGCCTTGTCATTTTCACATTATACGCGGCTTTTCTCTGACGTGTGTGTGGGGGGGGTATGGTGGATATAAAGTGAAGAGTAAGCATTTTGAACATAACATATTCAGTGCTAAAATCAATTTGGAAAGTTTTATAGATCCTTTCTGTACTGAACATCATCATCCTTTTCAAAGGTTTTCATAGAAGGAAATGATAACAGCTTCCTAGAGGCTGCCTGTGTCAGTTGCTACGTGAAGTGACTGGTCTGTTTACATTTCAAGGCTCTCTGCCTCTCAATTTACAGAGGAACTTCAGCCTAATAGATTTTGATAAATTGGTCAAGATCTCACTACTGGCCAGGAAGTATCATCAAGCCCATACTCTTGTTATTTTCTGATAATAAATTTATCTCAAAGAAAATATAGTTTCCTCCTCAAAGGGAATTCTGTTTCAGAAACAGGGCTACCACAGTTTAGATGTGGAGGGGCTGTGGTTAGCCTGGCCTGGGTTACATTCTGTCGCCAGTCAGCTGGTCAGAGATTTGTGAGGTGAAGTGGGTAGTGTTGTAGCAATTTTGTTTGTTTGTTTATTTGTTTGTTGCTTTTTGAGACAGGGTCTTACAATGTAGTTGAGACCTACCTGGAACTCACTATGTAGCCCAGGCTGGTCTCAAACTCACAGCGATCCTCCTGCCTCAGCCTCCCAAATGCTGGGATTACAGGTGTGCGCCACCACACCCAGCTGCAAATTATTTAGTTAGCTTGTGAGCAGCTAGCTAGTGGAAGGTCCTGAGATAAGAGTTGGGTGGCCAGGCATATTGACAGGAATTAAAATAAGGATAGTAAATTAGGACTTTGGGTCAAGAGTAAACTTCCTCAGATCATCACAAAATATAGCCCACTTCTTGCTAAAGGGAGACGCAGCCACTCCCCACGAAGCTCCTGAGATTGAAGAAATTTAAAATGCCATGGATGTCAATAAACACTATGTACTGCAAACATGTACAAAAAAATAAAGGTGATGGATAAAGGAGAGAGGGAAGGGAAAAAGGATGAAAAAAGGAATTAAAATGTGTTATGTACATGTACCTTCTTCCCAAAAAGAATGTAAACATTATGTACTGCAAATACATACTATTTATAGAATTATAAAATTTTTTTCAGTTAACTTCCTCAGGCACCATGGAATGAAGCCCTGTCTCTACTAAATGGCAGTGCAGCCACTCCCTGTTTGGCTCCTGAGTTTTGAGAAATTTAAAATGCAAATTAACCAGGATTTTTCTCTAAAATTCCAATTTCCTTTAAACACCACATGCTGAAAAACTGGGTTAGTGAGTCTCAATTTCAACTGATCATTTTAAATCGAGTCACCTATGATAGGTGGCCACTAAACAATGGAGCAGTTCCTGTGCTGTGCTTATCTAATTAGCTATCAAGAAGCCATGTAGCTACAGGCTTGAGGCTTTTCCTGGATATCCAGGAGCTATTCTTATTATTTCCAATAAAAGCTCTCCTGATTTCCTCCTTTAGGTTCATGGCTTTACTCGTGAAACTTCTGAGACCACAAATTCAGTACATGTGGTAACTGTATCATTTCAAAGGGACACCATATCTTAGGGGTATAGGACCAGGACAGAATTATTGTTTCCTGGAAAACATCTAGAGGCGGCCCCAGAGCAAGTCCACAGTCCACCAAAAAAAAAAAAAAAAAAAAAAAAAATGTATACACACTTCACGGAAAGGAAAATTTAACTATTTTAATACTAAATTTATTGGGACATCTGAGATTAATACAAGTTACAATTACAGAGGTGGTGGCCGTTAGCTTTCAGACATTAGCAGCAGGATGGCAAACTGCTTCTTGGGTAACTTTGGCCCCTGAGATTGCTACACCATACGTTATCTATTTCTTCTCTAAGGGCCGCAGTGTAGTGGGTTTTCTGAGATATAAGACATCCTCTAGGGTCCCCCATATGAGGATAACACCATCTGATGAAAAAAATCATATTATTCTTTTCCTGAAACATGTGTGTGTGTGTTGGTGGACTCTGTATTTGTGTTTTCACCATTAAGAGCTGTGCTGATAGCAACCACTCACCATGTGGCCATGAAGCACCTGAAATGTGGCTAATCCAAATTAAGATGTGCTTTAAATGTTAAATACCTATCAGATACCTATCAGATTTCAAAAACTTAGCACACAAAAAAATTAGTATTTTTAGATTACTTATGAAATAATACCAATTAGCATATTAAAATAATTTTACCTTTTTTATTTTAATATGGCAAGAGAAGACATTAAATGTGTGACTCTTAAATTTCTGAGGTGCTTGTGAGTGTCTGTAATATTCACAAACCATAAGCTGTAACTAAAACATTGAAACGGAATTTGAAAGTTAAGACTTTTGTCCAGTTTCCACGTGTTGAGAGTGACAAAGGCCACCACCATCATGGAAGTAGAAACAGAGTCACACTCAACATTTTATGGACTCACACTGGTCTCTTGAGCCAGTCCCCTCGGTTCTTCAATTCTAAAACTGGGAGTAATACATAACAGCACCTATCTCAAAGTGCAGCAGTTAAGAATGTGTTGAAAACAAATGTAATCAGCAACAGCTCTTGATGTGCTGTAAATCAGTACTAAGAAATTACTAGTTCTCAATTGGGAGTGGTGGCACACAGCTGTACTCCCAGGAGGGAAGCAAAGGCAGAAGGATCACTGCAAGTTCAAGGCCAACCTGAGCTATTTAGTGAGTCCAAGATCAGCCTCCAGTAGATAGTGAGACTTCTTCTCAAAACAAAACAGAAAAATAAAGAAATTGATAGTTCTCAGGGCTGTTGCTGCCACTTAATACCTGTTTATCCTCTGAAATGATGCAATTCTTTCTGCAAGAGCACGTGCACCTCCAGCATGGATTTCAAGCACAGATACTGTCTACCTTGCCCTCAGGTTTACATAGTTCATCCCTGGAATTTTATCTAAGGTAGTAAAAGGATATTCAATTTTTTCAGTCATTGCATCACTATATATGAAAATGTGACTAATGTATTACAAGTAGCTCTAGTTTCCTCTTACACGTCTATCTACCTGAACAATTTCTTGAATTTTCAGTTGAGTAAGTCATCAGGTTAGTTTATGAAAAATTCATTGAGACTTTTGGTTGATCAGCAGTGCTTGGGGAATTATATGACTATATTGTTGCTATTTGTCATTATTTATTTATAAACCTAGACAAAAAGTTGAAATGATAATATAAATTTTGAAGGGAATCAAAATGTTATCATTAAACATGCCACACTGACATAAAAATTACTCTGAGCTAAGGGCAATTTAATATCAACAGACACAAGAGGAATTCTGTTTTCCTCTTACCTAAAAGTAGAGCATATGCTGGGGATTTAGCTCAGTGGTTCTGCCGCCTGCTTCGCAAGCACAAGGACCCGAGTTCGATCCCCAGTACCAAAAAAAAAAAAAAAAAAAAAAAAAAAAAAGTAGAGCATAAATCGCACTTTGTAAAAGCAGCATAAATTTCCCAAATGAGTTATCCTCTAGAGGAAAAGAACAGCAACTCTTACCAGTGCAGACAGGGAGGTGGTACTGAGACAAACCTTCATAAACAATCCTTACTAAAATAAATCTCACTTTCCATTAGCTTTGTCCATATACTTCCTATTCACTTGCCCCAGCTATATCATGCCTTGCAGCCCAAGCCTTCTTCCACTGTTATAGGTCTCCTGTTGCTACAATTTGATTCATCCTAGGCTAAGGGAAGTGACCCAGTGGCAGGCAGATGGTCCAAAGACCCAGGAACTGAGATGACAAAAAGCCAGGCAGAATGGCTCCACCCATCTCTCACCTATGTCTATCTCTGCAGTTCTGTTCTGTTCTACTCTTTCTGCCCAGCAGGTATCTTGGTTTCTTGTTTGTGGTGTAAGAAAAGGCACCCCCAGTAGAGACATCAGGTCGTCTGTTTCTAAAATTCAATTCCGGTTTCTGAATGCAAAATTATTGACTGGCTCAAAATTGGCCCATGACTTATGGACCAATCTATTGTTTAGGGCCAGATAATGTTATCTAAGTTTTAGAATACAGAAGATGGCATATATTAGAAAACAGTTAGTTGAAACCAATTTGAGACCAGAGACCTGGATGAAACCGCAGGGCATTCTAGAGCTGCACTGCCCACACTGTCAATATAAGCCACAAATGGTTGATCTCTGGCCATGGGTTCCTATGAACTGAGATGTACCACATAAAAACACATGGGAGGATCCGAAAACTAAAAGGATATCTCATAAACATTTCATTTTATGTTGGCTAATAATATTTTAGATAAACGGAGTTAAATAAAGTATACAATTGAAGCAGATTCACATTTCTTTTTTCCTTATGTTGCTTTTGGGAAGTTTTAAATTACGTATGTGGCTTGCTTTTATGCTCATCTTTCTGGCAATGTACAGAACTGCTCTACAACTAATTCATTTGCAGAGACCTCTTCAATAACTGAGTAGCATTAATGTGTGCTTTATGAAATTGCCCTCAAGGAATTTAAAATGCATGTTGGCCATCTCCAACAGCAACAAAGACAAAGTAGGAACACAGACAGCAAGGAATGCTAAAGTGCCCGGCATGGCGGCAAAATCTGTGATCCCAGCACTGTGGGCGGCTAAGGGAGGAGGCCCACTAGTTTGAGCCCAGCCTGATCAAATCCTGAAGGCTCTGTCTCAAAAAGAAGGGGAAAGTGGAGGCCAGGGAATTTACCTCAGTGCAGTGGGCCTGCAGGGATTCAATTCCCAGTACCAGAAAACAAAAAACAAAAAAACCCTCAAACTTAAATAAATAAAAAAAAATTACATCCCCACAAACTAATCTATAAACTTAACACAATCCTACTAAAACAATTAATGGATTTTAATGAGTGATGAAGGGAGGTTGGAGGGCTCAATGTGAGGGATTTCTTTCCTATTGGCTACTGGTCATATTATAACATTACTGTTGTGAGTACCTATTATGTCAAGTATAAGCATTGAGGACAAGGCTCTGAACAATATTTAAAACAGCTTTATCCTACCTTAGAAATGGCCAAAAAGACCAAATTAATAAAATAAGTCCAAGATTTACTCTAGAGGGAATTCAGACTAAGACAAAGGTGAAATCCAAAATATGATGGAGATGCAGAATCAGAATTCATAAATGATCTTAACAGATGTGAATAGAGCCATGTACGAATTCTGACTTAAAAGAGAGCTCAATTATTTAATGTTGATGTACAATTATCAACACAAAGCCAGGAGGGGTGGCCCAATCCTGTAATACTGGCACTCTTGGAGGCTGAGGCAGGAAGACTCCAAGACAGAATCCAGCTCTGATCCTTTAACAATTTAATGAGATCCTGTCTAAATAATTTAGAAGGATTTGGAGATGTGGTTTGAGCAACGGCCTTCAGTTCAACCCCCAGTACTGCGGGGAGGGGGATGATTAACTCAAAATAACTGGACGAAACCATAGCATTTCCTCCCCTCCTCCCTCTCTTCCTAGTGCTTAACTCCAAAGGGGAATTAACACACACTAGATTACCCTTGTGGAAACTCAGCCTTAGGTCTCCTAAAACTGCAGTTCTTGTAATTTCCATCCCATCAAAATCTGTATTCAACAGAAAAAAAACAAGAGCATGAACTTCTGGGTTCAGAAGAAATTCCGCGGTTATGAAAGAAGGCAAAAAACACTGCTAAGGAAAACTAAAGCCTTTTATTGGAAACAGGCATCGAGTCTACGCAGTTAACTGTTCTGCTTTGCATAGAAATGTTTAGATGCACAAATAAGCATTTTAAAACATCAAAGTTTTAAGACTAAATTTAAAGGGAAGACCAACGATCGTGCCCCCCTTAAAAGTAATTAAGTGAAGGAAACTCCGTTCGCGGCGCCCAGTTCCTATCTCGGGACCCGACTCCGGACAAGGAAAACCCCTGACGCACCCCCACCCCCACCCCCCCACAAACCGGGGCAACATTTAACTCGCCCCCTCCCGGGCAAAGACGCAGGGTGTAGCTGCCCATTCTCACCGTCCTCACAAGGTCGGCGGAGCCAGTTCTGAGTACTTTGCTGCACGTCTGACTGCTGCAACAGCCCACTCTTGGCTTCCATACAGGGACCCCAGTGATAACGCGCACACGAGGGCCAACCCAGGCTCAGAGCGGAACTTTTTCGAATCCCCCTTGGTTCAATCCAGACGACATAACTGGTTCCCGCAGTTCAGCGTGGGGCGGGGTTGGCTGCAATCCCAAGTCAACCACGGGAGAAAATTTCGGTCTCTGTACGGGAAGCTGGGGAGCGCGCCAACAAGGCTGAGGGACGGGAAAGCGGGGATCAGCCCACCGAGCCGGCAGACACGCCTCAGCAGAGCAAGGAGTAAACAAGTGTCAGCGCTTTATCCCGAGATCAGTGGTGGCTCTGAAAAGAGCCTTTGGGGTTGGAGAAGCGGCCGAACAAGCAAGCAGCCTACTTCTTTTTAGGCGCGGCCTTTTTAGGCTTGACAACCTTAGGCTTGGCAGCTTTGGGCTTCATAGCCTTGGACGTGCTCTTGACCTTCTTGGGTTTGCCAACCTTAACCTTCTTGGGGCTCTTGGCCACCTTCTTGGTAGCAGCAGCCGCGGCGGGCTTCTTCGCCTTCTTGGGGGTCTTCTTGGCACTCTTCTTGGGGGCGGCCGCGCCCGCAGCCTTCTTGGGCTTCTTTGCGGCCCCCGCGGGCTTCTTGGACTTGGCCGCGCCCGCCTTCTTGGCCTTGGGCTTGGCCTCCCCAGAAGCCGCCTTCTTGTTGAGCTTGAAAGAGCCGGAAGCGCCGGTTCCCTTGGTCTGCACCAAGGTGCCTTTGCTCACCAGACTTTTGAGACCTAACTTGATGCGGCTGTTGTTCTTCTCCACGTCGTAACCGGCGGCAGCAAGCGCTTTCTTGAGCGCGGCCAGCGACACCCCGCTGCGCTCCTTTGAGGCGGCCACGGCCTTGGTGATCAGCTCGGACACCGGGGGACCGGTCGTTTTGCGACGAGCCGCCGCAGGCTTTCTAGCAGCCTTTTTCTTAGCGGGGGCCTTCTCCACCGGGGGCGCGGAGGTAGGCGCAACAGTTGGAGCGATCTCGGACATCGTGAGGTTCGAGGACGCGGTGCCGGGGCGGCGCCGCCGAAGCTGTATATATAGAGCGCAGGCGCGCGCTGATTGGTGCGCCCGCCGCCCGCCCGGCTGGCAGCCTTCAAGCCGCGGCGCTGCGCTCGAGTTGTGTTTGTTGTACCTCACAAAAGAGAGAAAATATTAAAATGCCCCTCACCAAATCACCTGAATTTGATCAGAAAAGGCTCCCTGAAGCCTCAAGCTTTGTGCTGTTCATTTCTTTTCCCCACAACCTCAAAGACAACTGCGCTAGGCATCCCCAAATCCCCCAACTCTAAAGGAAGTTCATGGCTATGAAAGGCCACTTTCTGTTTTTCTTCTAAATTACCTGGTCGCTCCTTTGCCTCTCAAAGTTCTTTTTCCCAGGAGTGGTTAGACACATCCTTCCCTTAATTTAGGGACAAAAATGAAATGATTTCCACTCGAATTTTCGGGATAATTTTGTTTCTTCGAAAGGGAAGTAACACAGGTATGGGTGACTTCTTCGTACAGAGCCACAGTAACTGTGAAGTGGGACAAGGAATTCCAGGGCCAGTCCAGAGTATTGAGGGTATGAGGAAAGGGGGTCATAAACCCTGGAGTAGTGGGGCTGGGTGGTGGGGGATTAGGGACTTCAATCTTTGATTTAAAGGCGTTGAAACTATCAATTCTCTCTTTTCATAGGTGGGGGCGGGGCATCCTTTTCACCTCTAAAAGCAAGAAATTGGCCTGCGTTTATAAAGCTCTTCGGATCCCCTCTGAGTTGTACAGGCAGGGGGTCTGCTCTGGAGAATAGAGGTAATAAAGAAGAAAACAGGCCCCTTAAGCCTGCCAAGGACACTTAAACTGTCCCCAACCGATTTGGCAGCTACAGACATTGAGATGATCTGCTTTCAAAGAAAACACGCATGCATTCATACATTCATTTGTTTATTTATATAAAGTGTCTATTTTGTGTCTAAAATATATAAAATCCCTGCAATATAGAGATGAATTTAAATCTAGGAAAATTCTAAGTTACTCCAGTAACAATATCTTATTTATATCAGAGTAGAGAAGAACGCTCTATAACTGGGAACCCGAAGATGGGAATAAAACAGTTGACTTTAATAAAACAAACCTTTTACTTAGGTAAACCATAGCTTGGCAATAGAAAAAAACCTACAAATTTTTAAACAGAAAGACAAGAAATTTTAAACAGAAAGTACTAGAATATATGTTATACCATCTGTGGTTTATGAATTCAATGTCACTTCTCATCCTCTCTAAAACCTAGCTATCTGTACTCTATTCTAAAGTTTGATTTGCTAGTCTAAGCTTTACTATTTCATATTTTTAACTTCATTTTTCTTCTTTGAGACAAAAGGCAGAATAAACGTTCTACGTATATATTTAGTATAATTGTGTGCTTAGATTTAGGAAAGTATTAAAATTATCAGAAATTTTTGTTCAAATATATATCTGCATGAAAATGGATGTTAAAAGTGTCAGCTTTAGATTGTAGTAAAGTCAAAAGGGTTATACAAATTGAGTTCACTAATGTTTGAAAAACAAAGCATATTCTTTTAGACTAAGAATGACCCCATGCTTTCACTGAATAATATTTAACATTTGAAAAAACTGTCTACTACTGTTTATGCCCACTGAGAATTAAGAGCCTAATGAGATTAGGGATGGATGAATCAGCAGCAGAAAACTACTTTAGACTGGCCTCCTTCTGAGTAAATTCTGGGATGGGAATTGTGAGAAAGTATTCAAAGTATAGAAACAACTGAAGCACCTTCATGATACTGATGTTTTAAAGAAAAAAAATGTCACTGCCCTCATTCTATGTACAGTGAGGCCCCTCCTCATCTGAAACTGAGCTAAGTGTTCATATTCTCCAGGACTACACCTGGGTGGGGTCTTGATTGTAAGGTCTTCTCTTCACTATAAATCACTACACACCAGTGTATAAATTTGATTCCTGTGATTCAGTTTTCTGATACAAACATTTATGTTGAATCAAGAAAAATCATGTCTATTTATATGCAAATATCTAATCCAGCCCTCAAACCGGCCACCCAGGATTTTTCCCCAAACCTCCTGGTAATGGTGAAACTGAGAGGCAGAGATATAAAAAATCCTCCAGATCCCTTGTGAGCCGTGTTGAGAAAATTATGCAAAACTTAAAAGCAAGGCAAAAAATTTTCTTCATGTCCTTCCAAGCCCTATTTCAGAATTATCTGAAAAGCCTATTTAGAGGTCATCTTATCCTGAAAGTCATTGTTAGAAACCAAACAAAATGTGAGCTACATACATAATTTTTTTAGTGGTCACATTGAAAAAAGTAAAAAGAAGCAGGTGATATTAATATATTTTAAATTAGGGTAACAAAATAGTATTAGTTCCACATATAGTAAATATTTGTAACAAGATAGTTTATGTTCTTTTTAAAAAATAGTAAAGCTTCACCATCTTGTATTTTACACTTTAACATTATTTCAGTTCCCATCAGTCCAATTCCAAGTTTTTGATGACCACATGTGATTGGTAGCTACAATTACAGGAAATAATACCAGAGATGAAATATGAAATATTTATAACTCCCAACCTGTTAACTGTATGATATGTCAAGTTTTTGTTCTCTAGAAATCGAAGAATGAGGCCTAGGAACAACAGAGGTTAAAAGTAGGAAGATATTTATTGATGGGAAAGCTCCTGAAGGGCAGGAGGGGTCCCAAGTGGGTAGCCACGACACCACTGGTACCACATGGCCACAGCCATGATCAACCAATAAGGTTACAAGGACAGTCACTTAAATAATAGTGGTCCAATTGGGAAACAAGTCACATAACAAGCATGGATGGAAAGAACAAAGATTCTCCTAGAAAGTTGTGGGTCCAGAGGTCTCTGGTCACCCACCAGGGTGGTTGATGTCTATCTAGATTTATGAGGCCCAGTATTTATTCTTTGAGGAAGTATGTAGGTGTAGTCATCTTGTCTTTATTTTGAGGTCTGGTTTTCAGCCAATGTGTCTCCAGTCACCATTGTGGTGAGTTTCACCTTTGAATTGACCTTCTCGAGGACCTAACACTATCTCCCTCCCTATAATATTTCCATCTGACTCATTTGTCTGTAATACCACCAAACTGGACAAACACCACAGCTGATGCTAGTGAAAGTAACTTCATGCTTGATGATTTGGTTTGATTTAGGTTTTTTTGGGGGGGCGGTTGTTGTTATGTTCTGTTTTGTTTTTTGCAATATTGGAATTCAAACCCAAGGCTGCTCTACCACTGAATTATCGCCTCAATCTTATGTTTTTGAGACAGAGTCTTGCTAAATTGCCCAGATGTGCCGGACGTGGTGGCGCATACCTGTAATCCCAGCACTCGGGTGGCTGAGGCAGGAGGATCACTGTGAGTTCAAGACCAGCCTGGGCTACATAGTGAGTTCCAGGTCAGTCTCAATTACATAGTGAGACCCTGTCTCAAAAAACAAAAACAAACAAACAAATACATTGCCCAGACGTGAACTTTCAATGAGACAGAAGATTAGAGAGTGGCAAAACTGGCTGGGGTTAAGGTTATTGGCCCAAATTCAAGTAATTAAAATCTACTTTTACCTGGCCCATCAAGGGATGAAGCTAATAATACTAGCCATTTCACTAGCAGTGCCTGTTTCAGAATGGAAAATGACAGCTGGGGTCAGCTGGGGTCTACTGAGACTGTCAATGTAGGAGGCCCATGGAAAAAAATATGCATGAAGGGACTATCAGAGTTTTGCTCCAAACTCTCTAGGTTGTTTTGTTGTTGTTGTTGTTTTGTGTTTTTTTGTTTGTTTGTTTGTTTGTTTGTTTGTTTGTTGCTCAGGCTCATAAACCATTTTTGCAAATAACTCAGCAATTTTCTGTTTTTGGGTTTTTTGTTTGTTTGTTTGTTTTTGAGACAGGGTTATATTCTTTTATATTTATACTATAGGTTTATAGTCTTAAAAAATTCTACAAAGCCAATGAAAAAGTTCCACATTCACTGGCTTAGTCAGATCCCCACAGGTCCAGGAAAATCTGAACTTGTAAGGGCGCCTGCAGGTGGCAGGCACAGCTGGACTGGTGATGCAGAGGAAGGGAAAGACACAGCTTGAAACAAGCAGGTTGGTATTAATTCCAATTTCTGTACTCCAGAAGTGGGTGACCTACCTGTTCAACCTTTATTTCCATCTTCTGTAAAATGAGAATACAGCCTCCCCGCTTAGGAATATGGTGAAGATGAAATTAAGTAACATGAAACCATTCCTGGGACCTGTAAGCATGTATCACCCAATCATTGAAAGTTTATTCCTTTTAAATCCTCATACTATGACACCCTCTGGTTTTATTGCTGAATGAAAAAGCTTGTAGTTCCCTTAATTTGGAGGTGCATGATAGAAATCTGAGTCCAACAAGCTCACTCATTTTTTACCAGTTGTGTGTGGGTTTCTTAGCGATATCTAAAAGGTCATATCCTACCAAGAAGAGACGGAGCTAGGCCATTAGAGAAAAGAGGAGAGAATGCATATGTTCTTGCAGGTATGTGTGCATGCATCATGCATGTGATTGTGTGCATTGGGAGTGACAGGTGAGCAAATAATCCAGGACTATCACTCTCACTCTCATGTGAGGTTCTATCCCAGCCTGATGTGGGAACTCACTCCTTGCCCATTACTCGAGCTTGTGAAAACAATGTGACATGTTCACTCCATTCTGCCTGCTGCATCACAGCCCTGTGCATACTTATGACGGCCAGCAGGTATAACTGGGTACTACCTAGGAAGAGCCCTGGCACTGCCCATTCTGCACGCACAGCTGACTTCACCTCAGTCTGTTCACATTAAACAAACCTTCTGATTGAGACCAAATTCTTACTATGCTAGCTCATCTAAAAGTTTGTACAGCTATGCTCCCCTTAATACATACATTCTATTTTTTAATGTTTAATTGTAGCATTATATTTTCCTCATTTTTTATGTACAGGAAAAAACACAGAGGCAGCATGTTATATTGGTCAAAAG